TCTCTCTCTCTCTCTCTCCCCCTCCCTTCCTCCCTCCCTCTCTCTCTCTCCAAAACAGGGTTTCTCTGTGTAGCCTTGGCTGTCCTGGAACTCACTCTGTAGACCAGGCTGGCCTCAAATTCAGAGATCCGCCTGCCTCTGCCTTCCAAGTGCTGGGATTAAAGGCGTGCGCCACCACCGCCACCCAGTTGAAAGCTTTCTCTTAAGCTGAAGGCTTCTCATCCTTGCCGCTGCTTTTGAGGGTCAATTCCCTGAGGAAAACTACGCTTTCACCCCTTAGTTCTTGGTTCCTTATGTATTTATCATGACTGCCTGGACTATGCGGAGTTCCTGTGTTGAGGACTATGAGGTTTGGGGAGGTCATACCTCAGATGAGGTAGCTCCTTTAACCCTCTCTGCCTGGGAGAATGGCAGCTGGTAGCCCAGTTAGATAGAGTTCTTCCTTCCGTAGGGCACTTCTCTCATCTTTGGAAGCCCATTTGAGTTTAGAGGCAAGTAAACAAAATCATTTCAGACCCAAAGGAACAAGTCCGTTATGGCAGAATCTGATGGGTTATGAAGTAAATGAACCTCCCTATCATATTTAAATCCTAGAACACGGTCCACTTGGTTATGAAACTAATCGGCTTTGAGACATGAGGCAGAAAGGCCAAAAGCGTATCAAGTAAACCCTGAGAAGGGCAGGCATGGTAGCTCACACTTACGATCCCCACTTTGGAGGCTGTAGCAGGAGAATTGCCGAGATTCAAGGCCAGCTGGAGTACATAGTGAGTTCGAGGCCAGCCTGGCCTAAAGAGTGAGACCCTGTTTTAAAAAAAGACATTGGGAAAACAAAGCTCTTCTCTGTATAACAGGTATCTGCCCCCACTTCCTCCCCCAATTCTGGTTTTCCTGTTTCTCTGGGTGGTGACCATGATGCATCAATGGCCAGCAAAGGATATGTGGATGGAAGAGAAGGGAACCATGTCCGCCATGCCCTGCAGCATACCCTGCTCCATCTTCACAGCGGGTAGGAGAGGCCGGCTTTCCAGGTGGACAGGGGCAAAAGACGGGGGGAGCTGCTGCTGGCTCAAAACCCAGGGTTGCTGGGCAGACTCTGGGGAGGTCTGACTTTGGGAAGATGAGGCCTGGGGAGGGCTGCCACTCCAGTGGCCATCGGGTCCACGGCCCAGAAGCTGGCTGAGAATCTGATTTTCCCAGATGTGGGAAGGCTCAGCTGTCAAGGGACAGTTTGGCAGGGGACTCTGATACGATTTGGGGACTGCTCTCGGAGAGACAGGACACTTAGGAGAATCTAGAGGCGTAGCCAGTGATGATTTGCCCAAGAGAACCCCAGCTTGTGGCTGGACCCTCCTAGGCAGGGTAGCAAGAGCAAGCAGGTCCTTATAGGCACTTCTCCCTGGAGGTGAGAGCTGGCTTCCGCCCTCTGCTGCTAGCCCCTGGCAGCTTCCTTCCGGCTGGGTGAGGTGGCTCGGGGGATCCAGTAGCACCTGTTGTAACACTGCGTCCACAGCCTGGGACACGGCCCTGTTGAGTTCTTTCCTCAGAGTCTCCACTAAAGCCCGTGGTCCGGAAGGATGGAGCATGGGCTCCTCTGACTGCTGTGGAACCTCGGCGGTTCTGGGTTCTACTGCCCCACAGATGTCTTTGTTGGAACTCTGGTGGGGGTTGCTCTCCGTGGACCAGGGGCTAGACAGGAAGCTGTTCCTCTGCTTTGGCCTCAGGGGGCTTCTTTGCTGAGTACCTCCTGGGCCCTGCACTGGCGCTCTGGGCTCAGTGGCTTGTAGGACATGCTCCTGCAGATGTCTTAGCTGTTGCTTCAGTAGATGGAGTTGTTCTTTCACCCGGGCGCCCCCCTTCTTGGGCCCTCGATCCCAGGCAGGACCTGATTTCAGGGGACCCTGGTGCATGGGAAGGCTCTGCTTCCTCTTCCGCTCCCGGGCCTTTTCTGGATAACATGAGCTCTCCCTGGCTCGCGAACTGCCTGACACCAAGGGACCAGGAGAGAGACACATGCCTCGGACAATAGTCTCTACTCTGGCCCTCTTGGCCTGGATGTGCTCATCCCCAAACCAGTCGGCGTCAGTGAGGCTGGAGCTAGGCAGCTGACCACTGAGAACAGAGGAGTCTCTGCTCAGCTCTGCTGTGGGTGGGCTTCTCTCGCGTTCCATGCAGGTTTCTGCTAGGTGGGACTGAGGAGAAGGTAAGACAGGAGGTGGATCCATCACCTGCCTCCACGGGTGCTTGTGTGTGCAGAGACCCCTGAAGGAGCTCAGGGCCTTTGAGTGCCCCGCTGAATTGAGCAGCCAGAGGTGTGCCAGCCGTGCTGAAGGTCGGCCTCACACTCAGAGGGGTGGAAACTAGCTGCCTCAGGGATTCAGGAAGGCCAGGGCCACAGAACCTGGGGCGGACTCCTGAAATGAAAGACAGGAAGAAAACAGTAGATAACCAATCGGAGCGAGGCTTCGCAAACTTGAATATGCAAAAGGATCACCGTGGGAGCTTGAACAAGGACAGCTTTCAATCCAGTCAGTCTGGAACAGAGCAGAGAGTCTGCATTTCTAACCCAGCTCCTGGGTCATAGTCATTGGTGCCCCACTCTGAGAAGCTTCCAAAAGTGAAGCTCTTGGGGTTGGGGAATGTCTGTGAGGCAGAATAATCAATACTAGTGGCAGCAGGATGTGGTGGTGCACACATTTAGTCCCAGCACTCATGAAGGGGAGGCAGAGAGTCTCTGAATTAGAGCCCAGTCTGGTCTACATGAGTTCCAGGACAGCCAGAGCCACACAGTGAGACCCTGTGTCCAAACAACAGCCAATGATGATGGAGGCCAAGCCAGCAGCTCGCTCGCCTTCCCTGGGCTCTGAGCAGGGCAGAGGGCTTCGCTAGATCACACACAACACTAGTGAGATGTCAAACTAAGCCTGGTCAGGTCCAGAGTGGGCCAGAGCAACAGAGTCACCTGGTCACTCATGTAAAACAGCAGCGCCCATTGGTCCAGTTAGAATAAATGGGACCCTGGCCGTGGGTCTTACATAGCCCAGACTAGCCTTGAACTTACTGTGTAGCTGAGAGTCACTCTGAACGTCTGATTCTCTTGCCTCTCCCTCCCAGGTGCTGAGATTACATGCGTGCACTCTACCAACCGAGCTACATCCCCATATTTGTTTGGTTTTTAAGACAGTGTCTCGCAGGCTGGAGAGATGGCTCAGCAGTGAAGAAGAGCACTGGCTGTTCTTCCAGAGGACCTGAGTTCAATTCCCAGCAACCACATGGTGGCTCACAACCATTTGTAATGAGATCTGATACCCTCTTCTGGCCTGCAGGAATACATGCAGGCAGAACACTGTATACATAAATAAATAAATAAATAAATCTTTAAAAAAAAAAAAAAAAAAAAAAAAAGACAGTGTCTCGCTATAGTCCATGTACCCTTGACCCCGAAATCCTGCTGCTTCAGGTGCCCAAGTATTGGGAGCTACCGCACCTGAACCCAAGAATCTTACTTGAAACAAGTTTGAGAGTCGTTGCCATGTGACCAAACTGCTGCCCTGGATCCTTGAAACCAGATGGTGCATTGTTAGTTTAACCATCTACTCCGTGACTACTTACGGAGCACCTGCTTGGATCAGGCCTCCTGTGCAGCCGGAGGGCTGGAAGACCGGCCGTCGGGGTGCCACGTGTAGTGCAGGTCAGTTGCAGAAAGAAGACATCCCACGATGAAATTGTAAGGCCTATGTGGCAGCAGGAAGGTCCAGCCTCTTCTGATGGACTGAACTCCCGAACAGCCTTCCAAAGACGTATTTATTGATTGTTACACAAAGTATTTCCTCATACCAAGGTCCCTAATCCAATTTACATGTCTTACTAAAGGGGAGCATCACATGCCCTCATGACTTTATCCTTTATTATGTGTCCTTTGTAATAGACAATACAAGAACCTCAGGTGTGCCTGAGGCATCTTGTGACCAATGTCATGGGATGGCTACAATGCCCCTTCAGCAAAACAATCAGTGTTTTCCACAGGGATTCTTCAAGGTCAAAGAACTTCTAAAAAACCCCAGATAGAGTGGCTGCTGAATTCCCACAACAGCTGGGGGGGTCTGTTCTCAGGATCTTGTCGGTCTAGGAGGGAAGCAGAAGCCCTCCAGGTGTGAAACCTGCTGTGAGGACAGCATGCCAAGAGCAGAGACTGGGAGAAGAGCTAAGAGGGAGCTGTTTGCAAAAAGCCACCAGGAAATGTTCTGTCCACCCAGAGTCTACCCAGGAGGCCATGCAGAGCAATTCCAATGAACCCGTTGTCCCACGGGGAGCCTCAGTGTGTCTCACGCCTGCCGTGGGCCTGGGTTACTTCCCCATTTTGCAGACAGGTAAACATGGGCTTTGTGACGTCCCGAGCAACTCCCAGTTACTAAAATCCCAAGTTGCCTGACCCCCAGCGGCCTCCATTTGAGAGATGGGTTTCTCTCTCCGTTAAGCAGATTCGCCATTTTCTACAGGAGATAAAGGAATTAATTTTCCTTCTACAAACATCGTGTTTGCCCCTCTTGAACCAAATCCTCGCTAAAGGGGCTGAAGAGATGGCTCAGCCGTGAAGTGCTCACCACACAAGCACAAGGACCCCCAGAACCCACATAAAGTCCTGTTTTGGTGGTGTGTGCCTATAATCCCACCACAGGAGGCAGACCGGACCTGGCTGGCCAGCTAGTCTAGCCTAATCAGTGAACTCCAGA